AAAAAGGCTACTAAAGATTGTTTAGTTGGTCGAATGAGTTTTTGGTTGACCGACAAATACCGTTTGACCAATCCAAGCAGTTACAAATAAGAAACCATGCCTAGGATGGTTACAGTATGAAACGATGTCAGCAACGGATGCAATATCAAAATATTCCCTAATTCAGTTATAAAATGTAAAGTTGTAATGACTCATAAATAATTGAAATGTTCCCATTAAATAGGGGACAATCATGTAATTTACTTCACTCCTTCATATGACTTGTAAATAGAAGGGTCATTCTTATAGAAAAGACTGAATTTATTCCCATAGAATTTATTCTACTTTCGCTTTTCTATTGCTATCTTTTCATATTTCTTTCATTCGACCGACACTCTATTTCTTGAGCGTAACCCAAAGGATATTTTGGGATTCAACAATTATGAAGCTCAACAATTTTAACTTTTATAAATTGAGCAAATAGAATTAAAGTCATTTAGGTGTTTTAGATAATGATTTGATGATACTCGTTAATATGCCCACTATTATTATATTGAGTTATTAGCTTAATATTTATAGAAATAACTATAGCTGACAAGATAAAGAGGATGAATCACTCTCTCTAACACAAATAAGAGAAAAATAAGAAGAAGAAGAAGGAGAAGGAGAAAGAGAAGAAGAGGAAGAAGAGGAAGAAAAAGAAAATAGGTGGTTCAAAATCTTTCCTTTCTCACCAAAATTTATATAGCTCAACGCTCTCTTATGCTTGAAGATAGCTTTTCTATCTCCCTTTTTCCAGCTTTTTCAATCCCAAAACCCGATGGAATAAGCCCTTCCAAAGAGAAATATTTGCGTACGTAAGACGAACGCAGCGCTGCGTACGTCTGGTAGGTTACAGGGAGGGTATTGAGGGTTATATCCACGTTATACCCTCTGTAACCTCTCTGTAACCTGTCTGTAACTTAGAAATATATGAAAACAAAAGCGCAAAACTTACTAATTACATGGAGGTTACATGGGATATAACGCGGATATAACTTCCACTACCCTCCTTGTAACCTACCAGACGTACGCAGCTCTGTGTACGACGTACACAAATATTTCTCCCTTCCAAAATCTCTTCGTAAGCTTTATTAATGCTCCCCTTGGGCTTGCCTTAGAAGTTATTCTTTTCTAGCCTCCTATATACCATTTCTTCCCATGCCCATGCTAATAATAAATTGGAAAGTGCGGTATAAGTTAGTTAAATATATGAAGGCAACACAATGCTGCCCAGGAACATAGCTGTGATGGACTTAGGGTCTGTTTGGGGCAGCTGCGGCTCATTGAATAAACTGCTGATAAGCTGATTAAAAATAATATGCTGATAAGTTAGGTGCACTGACTATTATAAATTTTTATTTTTTTTTGGAAAAACCAGATCGCTGCCAGAAAACTGTCACCGCACCTAGATAGGTGCACCTATCTAGGTGCGTTTTCAGCGTTTTCAATGCATAAGTTGTCAAAACCCAGTTTACCCAAACAGACCAGGTGCGTTTTCAAAGAGGTCGTGTGTGTTTTCAACATGTCATCGCACCAAATAAGCTGCCCCAAACGGACCCTTAGTGTGCACGCGTGCACATGCTTCCATGGCTGATGCGTGTGCAAGTGGTGCAACATATGAGCTTGAATGGCATCAGATGCTCACACATGTGCTGGTGTGTATGCACTAGTCGCTTGCGACTGCGTGTCAATGAATATAATACAATTATTTTTGGATATGTTTAATCATGAGTGAAAGATTACCTTAAAGAGTGTAAACATAATTCAAAAATGATTTGCATCAAAATTGATACCAACAAAGCATTCTCCTATTTTTTTTAAGAACTTTCTTAGGACACCTAATATCATAATTTAACAAATAAAAAAAAATATTGTGATTTTTTCATTCTTTTGACATTAAGGGTCTGTTTGGGGCAGCTGGCTGCAGCTTATTGAATAATCTGCTGATAAGCTGATTAAAAATAATTTGCTGATAAGCCAGGTGCGGTGACTATTAGAAATTTTTATATTTCTTGGAATGCTGCCAGTTCTGCCAGAAAACTGCCACCGCACCTAGATAGGTGCACCTATCTAGGTGCGTTTTCAAAACACATAAGCTGCCAAAACACTGTTTACCCAAATAGTTTCGGTGCGTTTTCAAAACGCCACCGCACAAAATAAGCTGCCCCAAACGGGCCCAAAGTTTTATGGTTTAGGATAATTTTTTGCTTAATTTTCTAAAATTTTTAAAGAAATTTGTATACAATTTTTTAAATAATCTAGAAAAAATTACTTTAAAAATAAAAAAATTTATATAAAATTTAACTACATACTGTATTATTTCTAATTATTATAATCCAAAAAGAATTCGCATACAAAACATATTATATATGTCTCGATTATGAATCATTCAGGCATAGATGCGTAAATGAAATTCTGTTTATACTCATGCTTGTATGTATATTTGTCCAACTAAATGTATGGGTTCATGTGCTATGTTTGATTAAGAATATCCTCAAGTTAAATAGCCTATCAAATAAAATTTAAATTCATATATATGCATGTAGCATGAAACAAAGTTAAGTGTTGCTCAAATGAGAATACTTAGGTGGATGAGTGGCTTGAAACTTAGAGACAAAATGCGAAATGAATATAATCGTGATTGTGTTGTTGTAGCTACAGTGGATGACAATATTAGAGAACCGTAAAACAAACAAGAAAATATATATATTACTAGAAAGTCAATTATAAAATGATATTGAAATATTAATTTTTGGTAAAATAGTGATGAATACATTGACCGCACAACATTAATTTAAAGTGTGTGAAATCTTTCTATTTAGGTAAAATAAGGGCCAAGCCTAGTAGGATATCATTGTAATAGAATTTACTAGCAAAAGCCTGATTTGAAGCGTCTGTAATAAAAAAGAAACTCTAAGAAACAGTATAAACATGAAAGAGTGTAGATCATTCTGTGAAAAGAAGACCAACAAAAGTACAAAAAATATATCATTGGGCTCATTAGACTCCCAAACACATCTAAAGAGAAAAATAAGCAATAATCTCCGACCACAATGTTGTTAAGAAAAATAGAAGTAACATCATATATATGGCTCACAAAACTAGTAAAAATAATCATTGAAACCATCACAATTCTTATATGATATACATGTAGTATACAAAATATGTGTTCTATAATAATAATTGTGATGAACCTCAAGAAAGAGCTCATAATTGCTTAAGATGAAAAAGAGGCAACATAAATAATGAAATTAGAATTTAAAGAGATATATCCACGGGAAGTGATAATGAAGTGAAATTCTCCAGAATCTCAGAAAAATCATAACCCTGTAACCAATGACCAAGACAAAAAAAAAATCTGAAAGATCTATAAAAACCCAAGAACCAAAAACAAACTCAAACATTCAAAGGAAATAAAACTAAACAGAAATTCTCTAAATCATTACTATTATGTGGTATAAACATGAAATAAGAGATAGCCATAATAAAACATAATCAATCTATTTTCAATTTCTTTCTTTTTAAACTAATAACCTTACAAATATCATTATAAAGTTTTTGGATGGAGGATTTGTTTTTATTGACAATTGTATATTTTATTTTCCACTTAGATATAAGTTGCACATCTATATTTATACTATTATAATATTTATACTAACAACTTAAAGTATGAGTTAAAGCTTGGGGAAATGAACATCTTGCCACTTAAAGTATGAGTTAAAGCTTGGGGAAATGAACATCTTGCCATAAAGAAAGAACTGTTTGTCACACTAGATCTAAAACTAATCATAGAAATATGACATTGAAATAAAAGATGTAAATGAATTCCCTCGTATTATTTAAAAGGAGACACAATATATTAATATCAAGACCAAAAGCTTTAAGCTTGTTTTTAGTATGAAGTCTAACACCTTCTAGTTGAAACATGCAACTTGATACTATAACCTTTATAACAAATAAGTTTATACAAGCTAGCATTCTGAATATTATTGTATAACATCAAATATAAATCCTTCAAATTAAAATCAATTTTACCAAACCAACTCAAAGAAGAGCAATCACTATAAATTGGAATCATACCAAAGGCCATAATGAAATATCAAACAAAGGATTATTCAAATTAGAAAGATTTCACTTATGATTCACAATTCTGACAATCACTTTAGAATTTAATGGTTCGTGAAAAAGAGATAAAGCTTGAGTTCCCAACATGTCAAAAATCGAATTTTCATGAATCTAAGGATCCTTATATAGAGAAAGAACATAAATACTCTTACATAAAATTGTTTTATTTTAAAATTTATCATCATAGATTTTAAAGTTTCATAGGTTTAATGCATACAAGTTTGGTTGAAACATTGAAATAAGAAGAAATATGCCTACAATATGTGCATAAGCATTGTTTTCACTAGCCCTACCATTAGCATTCTTAGGCTTTATTCTTGGGGGCATTAATCTTGAATTCCAAGCCATCATAAATAATGAAAACCTTATGATTTATTAAAGCTAATTTTCGTTTTGCCTTTTGCTTATAATTTTAATATATATATATATATATATATATAGTGTCGTCAGCCGTGACCTGTTAGTAGTGCAACCTCTTTGAAGGTCATAAGTCCCCTCTGGTCGAGCAAATATTACATTTGGACTCTGGATGTAATTTGAGTCTAAAGTCTAATGGTGGAGCGCCAACTGTCAAGTGGGCCCGCCACAATACATTGAAATTGGTTTTTATATGGTTCACTTGACACGTAGCGCCCAACTATTGCACTCCGGATATATGGTTCTTATTAAAAAGGAATGGTTGGAAGCCATTATACCAGTTAGTACATCGGTAGTGAGAGCATTCCTCAAATAGTTAATAGTTAGATACATGAGGGTATATATATAATTTTATAATATTTTTAAAAGCAAATATCTCACATATCTACCCAGTGGCAACATGATCATTGACTTCATTGTCCCAACAACCTTATAACTTATTCAATATTTAACATTAAAAAAAGCATTTTTAAAATATTATTGTATATATTTTTTATTAACACCATACATATGTACATATGTATATACATCCTCATAAAATTTGGCGACAAACGCAAACAGCCATACATCACTGCCAAGATTTTCTTTTTTTCTTCACAGCAGTGCTGATTTATAATTCCCAATAAACAAGTAAAAAATAAACTTAAAAAAAAAACAACATAAAAATAATTTTGAAATCCCATCGTCATCATTTCTCAGTTACCGTATCCAGATCCTCTGCATAGATCGCTTGCAAGGCGGGAGGCGATGGCTGAGTGATACATAGCGTCGTGGAAGGTCTCCGTTTCCGACAGCCTCATCCTCATCTCCCTCGCCTTCTCCTCCGTAAACCAAGCACAGATCCGCGGCGAGCTCCTCCGGTTATCCATAGCCAGATCTGGAGCTACTACCTTTTCCTGCGAATATGCATCGCCGGAGTCAATATAGTCAGGCTGCGATCCCCAGCCGAACAAAGGCGACCACCACGCTCCACCGCCGCCGCCGCCGATTTTCCGGCTCCGATCGATTCTGGATCCTCCGGCCTTCGCCTGGATCATCGCTGGCCGGAAAGCGATTGCCATTTCAAGAGCCATTGGGAAAGGTAAAGTGAGGTATGAAAGCCAGTTATTGGGAAAGAGGTTTTAAAGGAGAATAAAGCGAGGGGATAAGGGCGGACGTGGCGTGGATGTGGAACCCTAACCGAACTTTTTAGGTTTTTCGACTGTTTCCGCCGTCTCCTTTGTCGAGCAGAAAGCGAGTTCTGCTGTGCATCCACACCGTTGATTTTTGTAAGAATTGATCCGTACGAATGCATCGATCACGTGATTCAGCGCGTGAAGGAAGATGGAATAATGCATGCAAAATCTGCGAGAAAATTTAGAAGTCTAATCATCGGTCATCACGTTGTCATACATCTTGTGGGAAATATGACGTCCGGTAGTTAATCGTCGGTACGTCCAGACAGAATATTTTCTTCTACTAAAAAAGATAAATATTTAAAAAAATTTAAGTTAATTTTTGCGAAAATTTTTTTTTACGTGAAAGAAAATTATTTTTTTGTTTTTGAAAAAAAGAGAAATGCAATTTTTTTTAATGTTTGTTTATTGTGTCCACCACAGTTATTAGAAGATTTCTATCTAAATGATTAGTTACATCATTTAAAGAATAATAAGCTGTTCGGAGAGATAAAAATATGATATCGAATAGATCTATCCATTTGAATAAGAAAAATTTTAAAGATTGAGTTTATTTTTATTCCGACCGTCTTCTCAAAATTTTAAATAGTATATTGAATAGATCTAATTAAAGATTTTTACGCGGGTAAGATTTGAGTTTCTTTTAATCTGGAGTTTGGTATGTTTATAAAGGCAATCCATCATAGTTAATTAGATCTCATGAGTTGTTGCTCTCGATTAAAGTATCGACTTATATTATGAAGGATAACTGAATTGGTGTCTTCAAAATTGATGTTTTAGGACTTCAAATTGATAGACTTAGGGTTTGAAAAGATGTGATTTTAGAATTCAAAGATTGAGACTTATAATATAATGATAATATGTCATCAGAAGTCTTAAGAAAAGGGTTAGCCAACTATGAGAAGAGTGCATATCTTAGGGATTATATGATTGTTGCAAAATGTTAGCTTTTGATTTAAAAGGTTGAGTTTGATTTGAGCTGATCAATTTGATTTGAAAATATTTGACTTGAGCTAGAATGGTTTAATTAAAGTTAATTGATTGGAGTTGAAAAAAGTTTAATATAAGGTTTGATATTAGTTGTAATGGGTTTGATTGAAGTTGATTGATTTGAGTTAATTAATTTGAGTTGATTCATTTAAGTTGACAATTGTTTGATTTAAAATTTGACTTGAGATAAAAAGAGTTTCATTGAAGTTGATTGATTTGAGTAAGGTATATTTGAGTTAATTAATTTGAGTTGATTGATGTGAGTAGAAAAATGTTTAGTTTGATAATGTTAATTTGACTTGAAAATGCTTGATTTGAATTATAAAAGTTTAATTGAAGTATGAATGTTTGATTTAAGATGTTGAATCATAGATTAAAGGGACAAGAATGGCTGGATGAATTTTTAAATGGAAGTAAAACCCTAATCCTAAAATAAACCTAGACTCTATAAGGAGGTTAAGTAGGTGTCCTAACTTAATTTTTAAGTATAACGCCCCGATCAAGATGCGTATGGATTTTCATCTTTCCAGGTTCATTGGTATCCTTAGACTATTAATCCACATATAGTTAGATATCTCTGATACCATAACGATGGTAAATGTAAACAATCTTAATGTTAGATGGTTTTATGTGTCTTTGTTAGTAATCATAAGTTATTTTATCTTAGGGTACATACATAGTTTAAGGGCGTAAATTTTATATTTTTTATATTTCATAGTCTTTAGTACTAACTAAGGGTACCTAGTGCTCTAACTTAGTCATCTAGAATGAATTATTTTAAGGAATGTGTGATCCTCAGTTTTATTTCAAAGTTGATTAGCCTAGGGTTTACGATTGATCTACCTAATTGTGGTTTCTGTTAACTTAGATTGGTGAATTTTGGATTTATTTTGGGGTTTGATATTTAATTCAATATTTGGTTTAACTTCTAGTCTGCGCCTAGGGTTTACAGTTGATCTACCTAATTGTGGTTTCTATTAACTAAGATTGGTGAATTTTGGATTTATTTTAGGGTTTTATATTTAATTCAATATTTGGTTTAACTTCTAGTCTGTCAGTCAACATGAGAATGAGAGTGTTCTATGTTCAAAATTTTGCATTTGGTTTCCTATCCTAAGTTGGTGTTCTCCTTTAGTTTTTCTCATATATTTGGCGTCTATTGTTGTTTTATTATTCTATGGTGAAGCTCACATGTCTGAAAGGCCTTATATATATGTCATTCAATTCTTACATTTTCAAACTTAAGTTTGATATACATACTTAATTTTTAAAATTTTACTTTCACCCGCATGAAAAATGTAATTTTGGTATATATATATATATATATATATATATGACACACTAAGATACTATTAATCATAAGTTTGAAATTACTCAACATCAAATTTTCTTCAAAAAGTTGCCTATCACACATTAAGCTACTAAACAAGCAAATATCCTTATTTTTTGTAATTTTTATAAGAAAAATATGAATATTCAAAATAAAAATTAAAAGCTATTAATATAGGCTAGATGTTAATGAATGAAGAAAGTTCTTTCCAATAGTTAACTCTAGAGTGATCATGCTTCTAAAATCATTTATAGTGAAGGATCATTATAGTCCTTAAGGAGAAGATCACCATGCCTATTGTAGTTACATTGCATAACTCAACTCATTTCTCTTCATTCAAATAAGTACAAGTGATTATATAGGATTTTTAATATATGTAATTAAAATTTAAAATTAAAAAGCCACTTATATTTTTTAATTAAATTAAAATGTTACTTTTATTTTGAAATAAGCTAAGCTTAAATTTGATGATCGTTATTAATTTTTTTGAGTTGATTTAATCAAGTCAAGTTTATGTATATCAAAGGTTATGATGCGCTTAGGGAGAAAAAAATCCTGATCACCCGTGTCTGTATCGTTCGACATACGCACACCGACCGTACGTACGTAATATTTGCTCCTAAGGTAGACTTTTGAATGAGGAGATCTCACGGGTGGCAAGTTAACTGTTTTGAAATTTTTTCCTCTTATCAAATAACAATAATAATAATAATAATAATACATAATACTTCAATTTTAAAAATGAGAGACTAATTCATAAACTCAACAACACCACAAAACTTCCAATTATTGTCTTGCTTCACTATGACTAGGGGTGTAAACGAGCCGAACACGAGCTGAGTCGACTCGTTAAAAAATATCATTGTCCATGTAATGTTTGTTTATATTTCGAACACAAAAAATGTGTTTGTGTTCGGCTCGTTTGCATAACAAGTCGAACGCGAACTGGTCGTGAACAAAGAGTTGATAGCAAGTCGAACGCGAACTGGTCGTGAACAAAGAGTTGTTTTGTCAAACCTATTCACGCAGCCATAGAATGTTAAGGTTTGTGATACGATTTAAATTTTAGTGTTTATATTAAAACATCATTTTAATATAATTTAATATATTTTTGTTCTATTTTTCATTTAATAATTTTAATTGATTATAAATCTTTGTAGCCTTGTAGTCAATTAATTTTTTTTAAAAATACCACTCATCATTATATTTATATAGAGTTAGTGCTCGGCACGTTTATATATCGAGCACAAGAAAACATTCGTATTTGGCTCGTTAACTTAGCGAACTAATCGAATACAAGCCTTTTAATGAGTCGAGCACGAGCTCTTCATGAACAACGAGTCGTTTTGACAGCCCTAACCGTGACTATAACATTTTAACTATTTCTAATTAAAATATAACTCGCAAACAAAATAAATTTTAATGCAAATCCAAAAAAGTGAACAGTCTACGAAACATGTTAAAATAATTAAAACTTGATTAAAATACATCAAGCTGCATTTTTATACTAAAATTTGAGCAGAAATCTCAGCAGCTTTCATTGGGTAAATAATTAAGGAATAGGGGGGTATTTTTGGCATTTCGCAATTTGTGAGCAATGCAAAATTATTATTTCAAGCCCAATGTTATGCCTCTAAAAAAAATATCTATTGGATTATTTTATCATAAGTTTAGATAGGGGTATTTACATGCCTACCAAGCAATTACGGTAGTGGGAAGTGTTTGTCGAGTCTTCGATCAAGAATGACACTGAAATTCAACTTATTCTCGAAACAACACCAGGCCTAACTCTTCATCTGGTTCAAAGTCTAGGTCTCATTTCATAAAGAGGATATGACTCTATTTTAAAGTCTCAGAGTAGTCTCCCAGCAAATAAAGAAAAAATCAAGACCACTCTATGTTTTCGAGATGCTCGATTTGACTAAAACATGCCAGATTTGTAATCCATTTGACATTTCAATTAGCCACCCAAAACTTCAAAAAGTCGTTAACAGCTTGATTTAGACTTGATTTAAGTCAGATCAATTTTGACATTATTTAAATTTTTTCTAAAATTTTATTTTTAATTTTAGTAAAAAAATAAAAGTAAATGAAGGAAAACATTGCAAAACATTAGCTCCTAATCACATGCCGACCACCCAAAACTTGCTATTTACAAATCAATCATCCTCTTTCATCCATTCTTCGAATTCTCACTCAAATGTCAATATTCATGATAACTAATATTTTTCATTTTTATCAAATTCTCCGTATTTTGATCGCGACACGCATAAATACATCAATTCATCAGTTCAAACAAATCACCTAAATGCCTAATTCATAAATACCAATATTTCACGTGATTTATATGTAATTATCCAAAAAAAAAATTATTATTTATGTAAATTTAATTTCTCTTTTTACAAAATTTCAACAAAACAATAATATTTTTGTTCAAATTATATTATCCTTTAGTTGTGTACAATCAACCTTACACAAAAAAATATTACATCAGTACTCCGCACGTAGAGTTACCTGTGAAGTCCAATAAAATTACGTATTAGGTGATCGACCCGGTAACACCAGGGAATATTCCCCTCGGGTTATTTCGTATTATTCAGGTGTTATTGTATGTTATTCAGGTGTTATAGTGTTTTGGGAATATTCCCGGTGTTATAATAACACAATAACACATCAATAATACTTAAATAACACACAATTACCCCTGAATAACACACAATAACACCTAAATAACA